TCTGGTGCCTCTGCTGGATGCATCAGAAAGCACGGGACCCAAAGGATCCAGTGCCAGCGTCCCGTGTCAGACACCACACGGCACCCCAGAGATCCCGTCATCACGCTCCGGTGGGTCAGAGCTGCTTGAGCAGCACTAAACACAGAAAGCAATAACTGTCTGGTCCAGATGTCCCGTATTTACAGTCTCCTTTGGGCTTTGACCAACACATTTGATCCAGCGTCTGCCTCACACGTGGCCCACAAAGTCCAGCCAAGTCGGAGACTTTGAGCCGACACGTCACTCAGACTAAACCCAGACGTGTCTGCAGTCTGGGACAGGAGCTGATACTGAGCGTCCTCTGAATGACTTCAACAAACAAGAGATGACATGAACTATGACTTGAATCATCAGGCCGTCAGTGATCATGTTAATAGAAACTACAGTTCGCACTCTGCTGTTGGAAAGCAAGCTTCAAACGATTGAGGAGTGAAGCAGCTCACTCTCACAATGCAGCGGTATATTTAGCACAAGCCTCTTCATTTTTTAATGAAAATTCAACTTCACGCTGCTGCGCGGCTGATGCTCACTCGCTGTTACTGCAACATCTAAAAAACGAGTGGAAAACAGATCCTTTTCAGCTGTAATTCACATTTATACACATCAGTATCACGTCTAAGTTGCTTTTCCATTTTTCAGCTTTGATTCTCTGTCACTGAGTAAATATTGATTTAACTGAGAAATGAGATTTGAAATGATTTATTCAGTCTGTCAGGGATGTGAAAAGGTTTTTTCCTGCCACAGTTCAAGGAAAGACCCAAAGACTGAGAGCACAAGATGAAAGGATGGTTTTCATATCAAGAAAACAGGAAGTGCTGCACTGAAGTAGCAGGAAAACCAGAGTCGTCCGAATGTAAGGAGCCAGAACCGAACACAGAGGAGCGTGTCACCGAAAGTGCAGCAGCCGCGTCATGTTCTGGTGGACGTGGACGTCCCACCTGATGAAGACCCTGGAGCGGTTGGTCCTGGCTCAGCTTCGGCGCCTAACAAGCTCATCACTGGACCCACTTCAGTTTGCCTACCAGCCTGGCATTGGAGCGGATGATGCCGTCATTCACCTCCTACATCGTTCCCT